CTGAGAGTCTCCAGACTGATCTGCGAGTGAAACCTTGAAAGCTCGCGAGATCAGGATGGTCTCACCAGGCTAGGTTTGTGCAGCGAAGCAAACTAAACCCGTCTTTCCACTGGATCCTTTCAGAAAGACTTTTAATTTGTGTATTCGCAGGATTTTTATTTCATTTTCTAGGTTAACCCTTCATAAAGCAAGTAACCCTTTTTGATCAATTGCATACCGCTTACAAATTGAGTCCCCCCCGTACCTCAGTGAGGTCTAGAAGCACTAGATCTATATCCAGCCATTCAGCATAGATCCTGCTACATGGCTGTATATATTTTTTTGGCATTTGACCAATTAGATGAACCCTTAAATGATATATTACTGGAAATTAAGTTGGAGAAGAAAAAAAAGGTAAAAAGCTAATTGAAAAGTTAAAAAGTTAAAGTTAATAAGTCTAGTTAACAATCATATTTAGGTTTATAAACTAAAAAATGTCAGTGCCAGTATCAGCATTAATGCATCTAAGGTTATGTTGGACCAAAAACAAAAAAATAATAATAATATGTCTCTTTCTCAGAGTGTTTTTCATTAATTTCTTCTAGAAGAACTTTTGTTATTTTTCTTAATATATTCGGGAAAGTTGGCGTTTCTTGTTATAACATTGACATTCATTTTTGCTATAAAAATATCCTTATTTTTTGAATGTTACAAAGGTAATAATGTCTTGTTCTGGATTCCAGTAACACTACTGGCTTGTATTTCACAAGTATTGTATTTCAAGTATTTCACTGAGCGCCCTATAAAGGGTTAAAAACAAATGACATTTTTCTACATCAACATGTTGAATTCAACCTTAAAGGAAATGCACCATAGATGAAATAATGCACGCTAAAAGGCAACACAAGAACCAAGAAATAAGTTTTGGGAAGTTTAGATCTTCACTGTCAGTAGTGATGTAAAGTCCTTTTTTTGTTTAGGCCAGCAGCCGTGAGCCATAAATACGTTTCTAACCAAAGTAGCATCTTTTCTGAAACCTTGAGGCTTTTGGGATAACTGCGTATTTGTACAGCTGCCTCAGCTTAACACCCACAATCTTTTCCTCCTCTTAAGGACACTGAGCTGCAGCCGTAAATCACACGCGAGACACAAGAATCGCCTTTAAACAAGCAATGAAAAAAGAATCAGGGTAAAATCAGCAGAGGTTCTGCGGCTGGAGTCCATCATTCTGTTCCGGTCCATACGTGGTTTTTAGCATTTAATTAAAACGAGTGTTCATTAGGGCTTAATGAGTAACAAACTGTGCATTAGGAGAAAAAGCCGCACAGGTGACCTTCCTTTTTAAATTATTTACTGAGTCTCAGTTCGGAGCTCCTGCCTAATGAGGTTCTGCTCCAGCAGCCTCTGATTGGACGGATCCAGTCAGCTTGTCACAGCTCAGAACCCGACTTTAAATTAAAAAGCTACACAGCAGAAATAAACCAGAGTGACAGAAATCATTTTATCTTCTACTGTTTAGAGACAATAAATTCACCGTGTTAAACATTAGGTATAACTTTTATCTTTTACTATTAGATAAACAAAACAAAAAAAATCAGTTTAACATCAAATGCCTTGATTTTACTTTGCTGAATAACTGAACAACAAATTAAAGGAAAAGTCTGGTTACATTCAGAATACAAACTTCTGAAAGTTCTATTAATATGAAATTATTCCATCCTGTTCAATAAATGATCAGTGTTTTTAATTCACAATAATTTTCATTTAATGTGCTTTACTGGAGGCATCCATGTTTTTTTTGTTTGTTTTTTTTACTGATCAACACAAAATTCATTAAATCGATGCAAACCTTTTAGTTTTAGGTATAAATAATGATCCACTCATTATTCCTTGTTGACCGGACTTCTCCTTTAAGGAAAGTCTTATAACTGAGGCATCTGTTAATAAAAAAACACAATCTTAGTGCTATGGAGCTCAGATTGAACATTTTGTTCGATCTATTCCTTATTAAAGCATGATGACTTGACATAATTTTAAATTCTGCTGACGCTACTGAACGGAGCAGCATAATTAGGCCTTAAATTATGAAGGTTTTCTGTTCCCGCTGAGTCACAGTGAGCTGATATTCTACTTTTATTATCTGAAATGAAACACATTCTATATATTAAATGAAAAAGTTCTTGGAATGAAAAGCAGCAGGTAACTCATAAAAGGGGAAACAAATAACCCCAAATATAAGACGACACATCTTTAAAGGTTTGTCCACCACAGCAGGCTTAGTGCTTGAGTTGATTTTTTAATCAGGCATTAGTTCAGAAACAAACAAAGTAGAAATTCAGAATGTAAGAAGATTGTTTTCTTTGCAAAATAGTAGCATAAATGACTGACTAGTTAAACACCTGAGGCCTAACATCAGGACATTTTTGACCAGCGGTGGCTGGCCAATAGAGGGCGCTAGGGCACCGCCCGACCCACCTGATGACCCTGATTAAGACTTCAAAAAATATTTATATATTAAATTTTTTTTTTGTTATTTAATTTTAACGTTAGCC